GGCCCTACGAGCGTGGCTGAGGCAGAACAAGTGGGGTCTGCCCAGCGTCAGTGCCTGCCCGACACCTTGCCTGACCCTGGCCCGGCCCCTCTCCTTCAACTCAAGATTGAAGAAAGGAACAATTTTTAAAACCCAGACCAATGGTTTTGAAAGTTTTCCTTTTTAAAAAAAATCTTCCAAACAAAAGTTTACGGAGCCTGCTGTAATAAGCAAGGAGGCCTCCCTGGTTGAGGGTGGGGACCCTGCCTCGCGGGGTCCCTCTTGCTCCCTGCGGTTGCCTGGGGCACTTCTGCGGGCTCCAGGGCACATGGGTTTACCATGCTGCTCAAGAAAACACTCTTCCAGGGATTTCCCTCTGCCAGCCACTGGGGAGTGGCAGGGTTGGGCAGAAGCCCTGCCCAGATCTCCTCTGCTCCTTCTACTCCGACTTGCACCCTGGCCCAGCAGGAGTGGGCACACAGCCTCTGGGGTAGTGAGGAGCAAAAGAGGACATTGTGTCCACCCTGAGCAGCCTCGGGGGATGTTTGCTCCAGGCTAGCGTGCTGTCTTCACTTTCTTTCCTGTTCCTTCTTCTCCTTGGACTGACACTTACTTTGGGTGTCTGCTTGGCATGGAGATAGGTACCTCACCCCTGGCCACCCCCCCCACCCCGCCCCTCACCCCCAGGCATGTGCGCTGGTAGCAGGGCAGACGAGAGCTCAGCAATGTCCCCTGACAGCTGCTCCTGCAGTCCCACTGCCCCACTGCCCAGCACGCTGCACTCCCTGGTGGGCTCTTCATGCGTGGGGGCACTTGAGACCCTTAGCCATGGCTCTGTGTGCCAGCTGCTCGTGCCTAAGTGTCCCACCATGATCGACGCCTGTCTCTGGGCCTCTGACTGCTTTCAGGGCCCTGCGTGGGGCAGTGGTTATTGATGGTGTGGGCTGCTTTTAAACCGGGGCTGTTTGTGAGATGGCACGAGACCTACCGTGCCTGGGCCTGGCCTGAACTGCAGTGCCCTCTGTCCAGTGGTGTGTGGGCTGGCCGAGCCGGGCACTGGTTTGTTACAACCCAACTGCAGCCCATCCCCATTCCAGTATTTTAATTATGGCATTAAAGACCTATAAGCATGAAAAGGTACGTGCCTTATATATGGGATTCTGATTAATTCACATTAATTGCCTCAGACGATACTGATACCCAAACAGAAATCTGGCAGGAGAAGCCCGACTGGCAACCCTGATAACGCGCTTACGTGGAGGCGGCCGTAATGGGGCCAGGCTCCCGGCACAGTCTCTGGAGGATCGGGAGGCGGGTGTGGAGAGCTCATGAAGTCAGAGTGAGGCCAACTCTGCGGGTGGGTGTGGTTAGCTCTGCACCCAAGAGATAAGGGTAGGGACCTGAGGCACCAGAAAAGTCAGACGAGGAAGTGGGTGGAGACAGGCGTGTTCAGAGGAGACAACTTGGCCAGCAGGGACCATGTGATACCAGTAGCAGAATAAAAAGCAGCAGAACAAAGCCGGTGAAATAAGAGTTGGAAACAGAGGAGAGGAACAGGAGAGTGTGACTCAGGAGAGCTAAAATCACGCGGATGAAAGTCCAGAGGGGACAGGGGCAACAAGAGAAGTGAGGCAGGACATGGGAGTGCTTCAGATAAAGATGGGGCAGAAAAAAGAAGAAAAAAGAAATGGATGAAGTGAAGGGGGGCGGGGGGTTAGGCCTGGGCATAGAGATGCCTAGGAAACCTCCTTGGCGGGCTCTGGGCCATGTCACAGCCAGGACGAGCTCTGGGAGGTCAGAGGAGAGGAGTCAAAGATAATGTTTTAGGGAAAGCTAGTGGGTCCCCTGGACCCTTTGGGGAGCCCTGAGTATTGGGTGGACTCGAGGGGCCCTTGACAGGCTCTCTCATCTGGGATGGCTCGGCCTCAGGGAGCTGACCCGGAGCGCGCAGGTACCTGCATGATGCGGACGTAATCGGTGCGGTGCAGCTCACTCTCCTTGACCACCTTCTTCTTGAGAGTGGCCAGGTTCCGCTCCAGGTGCTCCCGCTGGCGACTGTACTCCAGCTGCAGGTCTGTGTTCAGCCCTGCGATCTCCACCTGATGGGGCACAGGGGCCTCTGAGCGAGGGGCGGCCAGGAGAGAAGGGGAGGGCGGGGAGGGAGGCAGAGCTCACCATGTCTGCCCGCTGCACGTACTTCTCAAAGAGACCTCGGACCTTCTCCTTCAGGGACCGGGCTTCCTGGATGTACGCCACGCAGTTGTGAAGGTCCGTCTTAAACCGTTTGACCAGCGCCTCCAAGTCCCGCTCCTGCAATCATAGGCGCTTACTTCTGGTGCTGAAGGGATGGACTCTCCAGGGGCAGGGGCTGCAGGCTAATGGCTGCAGAAAGGGACAGGAGGCACCACATCTGGGACTTGCAGTTGACCACACCGGGCACAGAGACCTAGATGGACACACAGCCCAGAGGTGGAGGCCCTAAACCTCCGCGTACCTGGCCTGAACAGCGTCAGCTTTAAGAGGCCAACACAGACTGCTTCCTTTACCAGCTCTGTGTTCCCTTCAGGACCATGGGCCTTAGGAGATGAGAGGAAGCCCAGTAGTCACCCTTAGTCCCTTTGTGGCCGAGCTGGAGCATCGATTCTCTCCTGCAGGTCCCTGGGCCAGGGCTTCCAGGCCCCCTTATTACAAAAGCTCGCCCAGGGTTTATCCTTCTTGAGTGTGGCTGTGTGTGCGGGTAGGGAAAATCTGACAAAATTGGGCTAGATCCCCCCTCTTCCATCATGCTTTCTCTGATACCCATCTTCCCCTACCTATGACATAGCGAGTCCTTCCTTCCTCCTGGCTCCCATAGCCCTTTATTCACATTCCACAATTTCCCACCGTGCATTATAATTTTTATGCACATGCCACAAATCACCTGTCAACCTTTTCAGTTTGTGAAGGGTGGGATCTGTGCCTGTTCATGTTTGTAGCAGCTTCTAGCATTACCTAGTACAGGGCCAACACTTACTGTGGGGAATGGAAAAACCCAGTCTCATCCAACCAGCACTGCAGGGTGCCCTGTGCCAGTGGGTGAAAGTGCAGCCAAGTCCTGGCCCAGGGCCAGAAGACCTGGCTCCCAGTATTGGCTCTCGGCTCTGTATGATCTATGGGTGCCAGGGGAAGTTTCTTAACTTCCTAATCCTTCTGGCACGGCTTCCCTTATTTCTTACAAACAGGGATGAGAATAGGTGATCTCTGAGGTCCCCCCAGCCACAGCATCGATTTGATAGTCAAGGCCTTTAAACACAGACTACAAATGACTCTGAGCATGCTCCTGCCCAGGACAAACAAGCCAACGCTGAGAGCATTCACACCAAACTGGTCTCCCACCCGCTGGTCACTTTACCCAAAGTCACTGTACAGTCTCAGATGGATTCAGTCATGTGAATTTGCATGGGCCTGCAATCTGGCAGGGCTGTGAGCAAGGATGCAAGTTAAAATGGGAATGTCTCTTAGCAGTGGGCTGGCTCTGCCTTTTAGAAGCCAGCTGCCCACTGCAGGCAGGTGCCAGAACCTGAATCCAAGAACCGCCAGACGCTGAAAATCCTCACACCTTCTGTCTCTCTCTGCGCATCTCCTGATCGGTGGCTCGTAATTTCTGCCACAGTTCTGTGATGTTCAGCTCCAGCTGCGTGTTCTGCTTAAAGAAACGCTCCAGTTCAGATTCCATCTGTAGAGAACAAGGAACAGAGTCAAGAATAAGAGCGTGAGAGAATGAAAATTAGGTTTGAACCGAGGTCTTTCTGTGGGAACGTCTCCCCTGATACCAGGACGTGTCTTTTCTAGCTCCCACCTGTCCTCTGGAGCAAAACCTTCCTTCTCACTCCTCGTCTCCTCCAAAGCCCCCACCCTCGTGGCTGACATGTTAACCCAGGTCACGTGTTCCATGGCTGGGCCATGAGTTTTCCCCTCTTAGTTGCCTGGTTACCTTCTTCGCTTACATTCCTTATAATGGATAACTCTCAAGTTCTGGAACCTCAACTCCAGTCAGAGGCAGGGTCCCTCAGACAAGCACCCTCCTTGCCTACCTCGTGACACTGTGTGAGTGAATCTTGACCCTCTGGGGCCACAACTCATCAGAATCGATTCTAAAGCAGAAAGTTTTGAGGGACCAGCATGTGGGCATCCCCAGCCAAAGGCATAAGACAGGAAAGAGGAAGCGGAGGAGGAACCTCTGCCTCACCGCTCTGTTGAAAAGGTCTTAAAAAGTACAAGTGAGGAGAGTGTCCCGTCTTCAAAAGAAAAAGCAGAAAGCACAGGAGCTTCTGAAAGATTTATCTGTGTTGCAGTTGTAGTGACCAAAGGTGCGACTGACATCTGGAGCTTCTGATTAGAGTGAAACCAGCAGTAGCTGAGCTCTCAGTTGATTTAATTCCTCCCAAAAGGGAGAAGTGAAGTTCATTTTCACACGAAATCTGGTGGACCCTAGTGTTCTTGTTAATGGAGAAGTTCGCTGTTTAGGGGGATGGGACATTCACTGAGTTTGTTCGTGGCTGGATGGAGTAGCTCCTTGAGTCTATTTCCGGCCCTCTGCTCGGATTTCAAGGCTCCTGGAGGTCCTCGTGAGCCACACTCATGTTGTGAACACAAAAGGGCAGGTTTTAGAAGAACTTTGTCCTCATCATTGAAAGCACTTTGTATAGACAGAGAAGCCTAAATGTGTCACTGCCTCCCCCACCCCCACCAAAGGTAATTATCGAGGTCAAAGGACCTTGCGGAAGGAATCAGGCCAGCTCTCAGCCCTGGCAGCAACTGGTACCAGGGTGGGGTAGGAGGGCTCTGTTTGATCACTCCCCAGGTTCCGGCACATCCCCTGCCAAGAATCAATGCCATGGTTGGCCCAGTTACTGAAGGGAAATGAGTAAGCTCTCAGGTATGTTGGGGTGGGTAGTAATCGACTAAGTCTTAAATCTAGTTGAAAAATGTGTCAAATGAGGAGGGAGAAACGGGCAGTGATCTCCAGGGGCCTGCAGCACATTGATTCCAGGTGGGGGGACCTCTGCTCTCTCTTTCATATTCTCTGGCTACCATTTTTGGGGCCTTGAAGTCACTCAAGAATGGCAGGAGGCCCAGAGGAGACATCCTTCCTTGTCCCAGAGGCCAGGGAGAAAGTCATTGCCAAAAGGACGTATGTTCTCTGGACTGCCCCAGCCCTGGACTGATCCCATGCCTGGCTTCTTTCCTGGGCCTCCTAGAGAAAGGGCTTTGCTTTCTCCACCACAGCTCTTGTGCATCCAATTCTAGTTGGGTCACCAATGCTCTCTGATACCCTTTGACTTGTTATCCTTGCTCAGCACAATTAGAGAAAATGGAAGGGGAGCAGGAGGTCATTTTGCATAGGGCAGTCAGGAAAGGCCTCCTTGAAGAGGTGGCCGATAAGCTGAGACCTTGAAAGACGAAAAGAAGCCAGTCATGTGAAGACCTGGAACCTCTGACACAGCATTGCAAAGGCCCCGAGATGGGAAGAGCTTGGCTTACCCCAAGAACTGTCAGAAAGCCATTGGGCTGGAGCAGGGGAGGGAGCCCGGAGATGAGGCTGGAGAGGCAGGGAGAGGCCTCCTGGGCCTCAGTAGGGAGCTTGGAGTTTATTCTAGATGGGATGGGACACCACTGTGGTTCGCTGTGGCCTCTATGTGGGAGTCGACTGGAGGCTGGAGTCAAATCCAGACCAGAGATGACGGAGGCTTGGACCAGTGTGATGGCAGCAGAAAGGAAGAAGGCTTGGATTTGAGAGATCTTTTGGAGACTGAGCAGATTGGTGATGATTGGCTATAGGGGTTGAGGGAAGGGAAGGACCAAGAAGACTTCTACCCTTCTACCTTAAGCCCCTGGGAGGATCATGGGACACCTGTACCTCAATGGACTCTCAAAAGCCCTCTTCCAGTTGCTCTTGCTTCTAATCTCCTAGCTACCTTCATCCTGTTTGCTTTCCAAAACACACAATTATGCCACTCCCCTGCTCAAGAGCCTTTGAGGACTTCCCATTCCTATCAGATGAAGTGCAAACATGGCTTTGCATAGGGCCCGAACCAACATTTCCAGTCTGAGAAAAGAATGTTGGAAGGGGGTGTACTTTCCAGTGCTCAAGGCTGGTGGCTGAGCACACATCGCCCCCTGGTGGCTTAAGGCCCAAAAGCCGCGTTGTCCCTTAGAGGGCCCAGAGCACGCACCTTGAGGTGCTGGTCGAGCCGAAGTCCACCCCTCGGACCCGCGAAAGCCAAATCCCCATGCATTTCGCTCTTGCACAACTGAACACGCGGTTGGCATCCTCTGGGGAGGGCAGGGTGGCAGATGCCTTCTCACCTCCTGAATCTGTTCCTTCATCACCTTGATCTCATTCTCTCGAGGTTCTATTTGCTTCTTTAGCTCCTTTATTTTGTAGTCGAGCACAAACTTGAATTTCTCTAGTTCTTGATTTTTCTTTTTCAGGTCATAGATTCGCTTCTCCTGCAGGTGAGATGAGAGAAAAGTGAGGTGTCAGGAGGCCCGGGATATGGGATCCTGTTAGGCAAAGAACATACACCCTGTGCCCCCGTGATTGAGGAGGCCCCGGACAGCTCTCCTCGCTGGGGAGACAAAGGCTGTGGCTCTGACTCCTTGGCTTCTGTGCCAGGGCTGCGCACATTCGCTCCCTCACTCAGGTACAGCCTGTGGCCGGCTGTTTCCCAGAGCTGGCCTCGGCAGCATTCCTCGTCCCACATGTTCTTGTATAAAATAACCTTATGCTCCTCCATTAGGAGGTAGGACCTGGCTCCTCCCCTTGCCTCTGGCTGGGCTTAGGACTCGCTTGTAACCCACAGCATGTAGATCACATGATGCTGTGTGGCTTCCCAGGCTAGGCCAGAGCAGGCCAAGCAGCTGCCACCGCTTCTCTGGGGGAGGCCATGTGCTACGTAAGCAGCCCCACTGCACTGAGACCTCCAGGCTGGGGAACACAGTAGGTGCTTTGGTGGATGGTCCTGGCTGAGCCCAGCCTCCCAGCTGTCCCTGCCAAGGGCTGGGCATGAGGATGAAGAAGCCACCTTACATGCTGATCTTCCGACCCCCAGCTGCTTGCGTCCCCCTGGCTGTGGCCCTGCGAGGCCCCAGACACCGAGGACAAAGACAACCCATCAGGTCTAGTTCCAGACCCACCGAATCCATGAGAATAAAAGAGTTGTTGGCTTTTACCACCAAGTTTTGGGGTAATTTGTTGCAAGGCAACAGTCACTAAAATGTAGGTCTATTTATCCACCAAACATTTATTAAATGAAGACCTTTTATTAAGGTCTGGGATACTAAATAAAAATATGACACAGGCCCTGCCCTTAAGGAGAAAACACTAGCTGGGGAAGCAGGTGTGTCAACAAATGCACCCTGCACGGTGGCAGGCGCTGTAGAAGGCATGGAAGGCGCGGTGTGTATCAATGCACCCTGCACGGTGGCAGGCGCTGTAGAAGAAGGCATGGAAGGCGCGGTGTGTATTGAGGGTGCTGAACACAAGGTGGTGGGTGGTTCACGGGGAAAGTGAAGAATGAGGCTGGAGGGAAGTAGGGGAAGGAGGCAAGGGTCTTGCGTGTTGGATAAAAGGTTCAGAATTTATCCAGGAGGCCAGGAGTTGGCAAACTACGGACCTCAGATCAATTCTGACCTGTTGCCTGTTTCCATAGTTTTATTGGAACATGGCCAAGTCCATTCCTTTATGGGTTGTCTATGGCTGATTTTACACTTGGATGGCAGAGTCGAGTAGTTGTGACAGAGACTACACTGCCTGCAAAGAGTACAATATTTACTACATCCTAGCCCCTTACAGAAAAAAGCTTGCTGACCCCTGCTGTGGGCCATGGGGTGCCAGGGAAGAATCTTAAGAGGGAGAGGGACATAATTACAGAGTGTGGTGGCAGGGAGGTGGGAAGAAAGGCCTTTAGGAGGCTGATGTCATGTTCTAGGTCAGAAGGTCTTAACCTCTTTCTTGTCAACCCCTCACCCGCTTTGAGAATCTGAAGAGAGCTTTAAACCCCCCTCTAAAAAAAATGCCCAGATATATACACAAACACTCACATGTAGACATTAAATGCAGGAACTGTGATCCCATCAGGTGCCCTGAGGGGCCCCATTTCACAGGTGAGAAAACAAAGGCTTCGAGAACTTGCCTAAGATCCCTTGGCTGATAATGGAAGAGCCGTGTTGGAACCAAGCTAACTAGGCTAAAGCCCATGCGTTCTCAAACATTGGGTAGTAATGGCGGAGCCTGGATTTGCTCAGGAGGATGACATAAAATCATTTGGTATGTTTTACAAAATACAATGGGTTGTCTTCTCAGTGTTTTGTGAGAAAAGGTATCCTGAAATGTGATACAAGTCTTCTGGGGTGCCCAGCAATCATGGGGCCAACAGCGGGGAGCTCCTCTCTGACCAGGGGCGCCAAGTGGGCCATGGGGCAGATGAGCTGCCCCAGTCCATGGGGATGGCCCCCCTAGGATACCTGGAGCAGTGGAGAGCAGGGGCCTTGCAGTCAGCTGACTCAGGTTCTTATCCCAAGCCTGTCACCTACTAACTGTATGGTCTTGGGCAAGATACTTAACCACTTGGAGCTCAGTTTCCTGAGCTTTACAACTGGGTTGCTCATGGCCCCTGGGGTTGCTGGGAGAATTCAATGTGATGTGTTTACAGCAATTGGCCCAGTGCTAAGCGCACAGTAGGCACTTTACGGACTGCTTATCCCTCATCAAGTTAAATAAATATGTTCTCTTGGGCCTTGTCCTCATTGACGGGGTCCATCTGGGCTGCAGTTGAGGGCAGACAGGAGCTGAACCTTCACCTTATCTTGAATCGTCTCATCCCTTTCCTGGATCTCCCGCTTGAGGCTCAGGATATCCTTCTCCAGGGACTTAATGACTCCTTGCAGCTTCATCTGCTCTCCCTTCAGGCTCTCGATGTCATTGGCTCGCTCCTCAATCTCCTTCTGCAGGCTGCTGAACTAAAGACACAAATGGCAACAACAAAGACAACAAAGGCTTTGAACTGTCTCAGTTCCTCCCAACTGTCTGTGAATGTGAAGAGTTCCCCATCAGAATTTGGGACAGTCAGGAATTTCCCAGGCCACACGGAGGATGTAGTGTTCTGTCTGATGAGGTCCAGTTCCATCCCTTTATGCGAGGATGGACTGTCTTCATTGGGAGGCTCCGGAGACCAGCTCTCCGAGTGGACCCAGAGTTTTCCATGACCACACCGGCCGTGAAAGGTTGGAATCCATGCCTCATCGGGGTCACAAAGATTGAGCCTTAACTGGTGAATCATCTTAGCCATGTCCAAGAGGAAAGACATGCTGGTCGCCCGGACTGACTAGTAGTAGCGTGATTCCTAACAGGAAGGAACTAGGGCTTGCTTACTTGTCTTCTCTATCGCTGCACATTTTGGGAAAACTGTGGCAAGTCTATACGAATCTATAAATTGAGTCCCTCCTCACCCCAACCATCAGTGGCTAAACACATTTTCCCTGCCCTGTAAACTAAGCACCCTATACCCCCAAGCCTTCGCCCACCCATGGAGTCTAAACAGGAGCCACCCAGGGCTCCCTGCACCAGGAGCCTGAGGACACCGCCAGGTGAATGCCGTCTCACCTCCAGAAGACCTCATTTCCATTCCTATCGGGGATTAGCTCTGATGACTAAATCCTACTGGCCAATAGATGAACGCCCAGAGCGCCCATCAGTGCCTCTCTGAACCTCACTATCCCTGGGAAGGGAAGGGGAAGCCCCGATGGTTACCTGGTTACAGGACGTGGTAAGGATCTGTCTGCCTGACACCAGGCCACGCCCCTTTCCTAACTCACTTGCTGGAGGTGAGGGCCTTCAGGCAGGCTCCACTGCGGGCCACCCTCAGCCCCACGCTTTCCCCGCGGCACTGCCCTTGCCCCCGCCAGGCCTCTGAGGGAACGGCCGATACCTTCTTCCTCATGATGCCTGTTTCTCCTTTGAGCCGAAGGTTGGACTCCTTTTCATCCCGAAGCTTCTTCTCATACTTGGTTTTGATATCTTGGATTTCTCGGTCTTCGTCCTCTTCAATCTGTTTCTTAGTCTCTTCAAACTCCCGAAGCTGCTGCCTGACATCTTCCTGGGCCTGGCTCAGAGAGAGGGAGAGGTGTGCTCGGGGAGGAGGGGCGCAGGGCACCTTGTGCTAAGAGGGCCTGGGGCGAGAGGAGCATAGGGGGCCCGCGTGGGGAATGGGAGACTGAGGTTATTATAGGAATGGAAACCGAGGCCATGGGTCCCTTGACGCTTCCCCATTCCTCCTGTCTGTCCTTCTACCATCCCTTCTTTTCCTACCAGATTAGGCCTCAGGCCCTATCATGTCAACCAACACCCCAAACCCTCTTCTACCTCGAGCCTTCACATGGACACCCAGGCCTCTTCTAACTTTCCTTCGCTGAACTTGGGACCCTCGGGACTTTATATTTATTTGTGAAATGATTTGATTGTCTCTCCCATTAGATATAAGTTCTTCATGCCCACCATTGAACTCCCAGTGTACAACACATACCAGCACACAGCAGGTTTGCAGAAAGTACCTGAGTGAATGAGTGAACCTTTAATTCGCACCCCCAGATCCTAATCCAGTCAACCCTGATCTTTCACCTCCTACATGGTTCTTGAATCCATCCACTTCCCTTTATGCCTCCACCACTGCCCAAGCCACTTGCCTGGATTGCTGTCTCGGCCTCCTGACCAGACTCCCATCTCCAGTCATGCCTCCCTCCCGCCTGTTCCCACTCTCTGCTCACAGGGGGCTTTCTAACTCACATACCTGATCATGCTACCTCCCACTTGAAAGCCTTCCATGGCTCACCTTGTCCTCACAATAGAGTCCAGACTCCTGAGGTGGGTCTACAAGACTGTGCGTGAGTTACAGCACCAGCTCACCTCTCAGCCTCAGCTAGCACTCCAGCCCCAAGCTCTTGCCAGAGTCACCTAACTTCAGTTCCCCCAAACACGCATGTCCCTCAGCTGCTGGGCTTGGCACACACTGTCCCTGTTTTCAGCCCTCTTCCCGCGACTCTCTCCTAGCTCTCGGCTCAGCTATCATTTCTTGCCACTCGGCCATCACTCGGTTATATTGGAATTGCCTGTTTGACAGCGTCCTCCACTGGAATGGGAGCTCCTCAATAGCAGGACCATACCTCTCTGCTCTCTACTGTGAACACCCAGCACAGCATCGGGTCCGTAATCGGTGCTGAGTGAGTAAAGGCCCGAGAGCTCAGATGCTGGGACAAGGAGCTCTGCCTGGTGGAGTTCAGCAAGTGGCCAGGGTGTGACTCCTCTGCTCACTGCCACCAAGTGGTGGAAATTTCCAATTATATCAGAATCAATTGCTTTCCTCCCAGGCCGATCGATCCGGCACTCACTCTCCCGGGCTGCAGGTGCCATCCCCTGGACTGTGTGTTTCCAGGGTTGAGAGAGACAAGATGATTTGAAAACTGGGCCCAGTGGCCTCCTGAGAAAGGCTTCTTTTTGCCCACCGCACGTGACCACACCCCTGCCAGATGGAAGTCTGGCCAGGCCAGCTCTGCATGAAGCCTTCCGTGGCCCACAGACACCTGCTCTTTTTCTGGTAGATGTTGCTAAGGCATGAAAGCAGCCCAGCCAGGCTAGTTAAGATGGCATGCCAGGTGGAGGCCCCCTAGGAAAGTTCTGAGTTGAAATCTTATTGACTCAAAAGAAATGCATTATGGTCAATGTGGGAGGTGCTAGGAGGAAGGCCAGCCTCTCTTCCCTCTGGGTGGATTCAATATCCCTAGTGGCAGAGCTCTGACTCGTTCTCGTCAAAAATGACTCCATCCCTCATGACTCTCCTGCCCCCCACTCTCAGCACACCACCTGCCATTTCATGCCAAAAGAAGGCCATCTGGCCTCTAGCGATTTTCTCTTCATCTTGGGAAACTAGGTATTTTGGCAAAACCCACACTGCCTGGGCATCTATCCCTTCGCTCTGCCTGGGTGGCCTTTGCTCCTGCGTTTCCCTGGCTCCTGGTCATGCTAACTTACATTCCTCCTGGATCGCATGAGCTCCTGCAATCCTTCCCTGGCCTCCCAGGCCTGCGTGGTCCACCGGTGCCCTTCACCTGCGTGTACACCTTCACGAGTGGCTGTGAATGTGACCGCCTCCCTCACCCAGCTGAGAACCAGGCCCCATGTTTTACTTTCCTTGGTCACCCAGCACTCAGGCTGCTAAACCAACAAGACACTATTTGTCTTTGCTAAACCAATGGAGGAATGACTTCATTTTGTAAGACAGAGAAGTTATTAAGGGGCTTCAGGCAGCCACCTTCCCCATCATTCGGGGCCCTTGTTCCTCTCCAGGTTCTATAAGCTTCTAGAAAGGTCTCCTCCCCAATTCTTAAGGCTTGAGGGTACAGCTAAGATAGAACAATAGGCATGCACTTAGTCTATCCAAGGAATTTTAGTCTCAAAACCAGAGCACCTCCTGGCTCAGTGAGTCCCCTGGTCTACAAACAAACGTCTGAAACAGAGGTCGAAGGGCATACGCGCTGAAAGGAAGTTGGGGGAGGAGGTGAGGTAAGGCTTCCCACAGCTCTTGGGTTGTTCAGAGGTCGGGCCTGCAGGCCATACTGTGGGAGGGAGGCACAGCTTGGCTTCCTGCAAGTACCTCTTCCAGGAGGCCGGTTTTCTCCTGTAGTTTGGCCTCGTAGAACTCGGTCAGCTCCTCCAGGGCCTGGCTCTTGGTCTCATCGTTATCCCGAAGCTGTTTTTCATACTCCTCCTGCATCCTTTGGGACTTGAGCTGCAACTCCTGGTACTTCTCATATTCTAGAAGCAACTTCTGGTTGTTGCAACATTCTGAAGAGAAGCAAGGAAGGTGTTTAAGGTGAGACAGTGGCACCAACCTCAGGGACACCTAGGAGCCTTGGGTGCTTTCCACCCGCTTCCAGCACCAGCTAGAACATCTGCCTCCAAAGCCAAGACTCAGAGCTTGTCTTCCTCTCCTGCCCACAATTCCATCATCTCATCAGGCAGCCTCCTCTTTGCTGCCTAGGCAGCAAGGCTTTGAAGAAAGTGCAGATGGGATGCTTGGGGGTTCAGGGCTAAGAAGAAATGTCTATCTATTTTGAGTGTGCAAAATAGATAGTATCCTCATTTTACAGAGGAGTAGCGGAGGCCCAGGGAGGTTGGGTGACTCCCCAGAGCTCCCAGCAAGTACATGGTGAGTCTGGGACAGTAGATCAGGCTCCAAACCTGCACGTTTCCGTATTCCCTACTGGCTTGTGTTTAATCTGTGCTTAATGAATGAGTAAAATACACAGGAGTAAAAACCATGGTGAGTTCCAGGGGATAAAGGCAGCCTGTTTATAGACAAAGCCTCACCATCCAGGACTTCTGCCGGGTCTGGGGACTCTCAGACATCTGCTACCTTCTGCCCACGTGGCCTCCACTGTGGACTCACCCAGGTCCTGCAGTTCCCGGGTTTGTTTCTCCAGGAGGTCATCCATGCGTTCACGATGAAATACATCCTGCTTGTCTTTTTCTGTTCTTAAAACCTAAAACACAGGTCACATGTTCTCGTTTCTACACATCTGCTGAAAGCACTGCTGAGGTGAGAACACATTTTACAAGTGACGTCCACCTTCACCCACAAACATTTCCCAAGCCCGTGTGTTGTTCCAAGCACTGTTCTCTGGGCAGCGACCAAGCTACCGCTTTTCATTTACATTACATTCTGCTCTGAAAGTTCTATACTTTCACTATTTATATGCTTCTACTAGGTGGGTCTTAATAATGAGGTCAGTTTGGGACATGCAGCAAATGCATTTTGGGGTGAAAAAAGTAAGGACTTAGTGGAGTTCTCTGTTGTCCGCACATTTTTAAATAAAATCCTTGGATATGTGAAAGTGTCATCATCTAAGGAAGTGTTTCCTTTCACAGAGCAGGAAGCTCCTCACAGGCAGGGGAGGAGCCATCTCCAGGACCAAAGTTTGTGCTTAGCTTATGGAGGGCACCAAATCAGTGTGCTGACTAAGTGAATGAAATAATTAAATCAACAGGGAGAGAACCAAGATGGCGGCATAGGTTAACGCCGGAGTTTGCTGCCTCGAACAACCATTTCAAAAGTGAAACTAAAAGACGGAAGGGACATCATCCAGAACCACAGGAACGCTGGCTGAGTGGAAGTCCTACAACTAGGAGGTAAGGACTCAGTGGAGTTCTCTGTTGTCCGCACATTTTTAAATAAAATCCTTGGATATGTGAAAGTGTCATCATCTAAGGAAGTGTTTCCTTTCACAGAGCAGGAAGCTCCTCACAGGCAGGGGAGGAGCCATCTCCAGGACCAAAGTTTGTGCTTAGCTTATGGAGGGCACCAAATCAGTGTGCTGACTAAGTGAATGAAATAATTAAATCAACAGTCAGGTTTGTGGATTGTGTGTGTGTGTGTGTGTGTGTTTAGCCAAACTGTGTGACCCACAGCGATAACATAAAATAACAAATATCCCTTGAGCTAAAAATAGGGAGTTTTGGATGAAAGGCCAGGCAGATTAGTGCAGAACAAAGAAATTATTCTGAGACAGTCCTGGATCAAATCTAACCAGAGGAAGACCATTTAGACTAGTTCTATTTAACCTACTGACAATGCGGAGATCAATACTCTGCTAGCTTTTTTCTTCGTATACTTACTTTTTCTTGTGACCTTTTAATTTTATTTTAAAATAAGTTTCTCTTGATCATAAAGGTAATATATTCTCATTGAGGAGAATTTGGAAATTACATAAAAGTATAAAGAACATTTAAATTACCCATAATTCCAGTTTCCAGAGCTAATCACACTTAACTATTTTCTTAAAAAAATTGTCCCATGTGTACTTAATTTATTTAATACTATTCACTATAGAGTTTTATATTTTGCTTTTCTTTCACTTAGCACTTTGTCGTAATCGTTTCTGATGTTATCAGCTATGCTTTCAGATCGCACATTGTCGTGGATCTTATTGCCTGAGCATATACCAGTTCCATCTTGAGTACATGGGAGAGAACAGGAGATTTCTTGATATTCGTGGTTGCTGGTTTTGTCTCTCAAACAGACCTGGTTTTTTGTTTTCAAGGACTCCATTTCCTGGATGAACTTGTCTGTTAGCTCCTTAATCTTCTCGGAATAGTTCATATCCTTTAGTCGCAACTGATACTCATTCTCCATTTTTAATTCTTCCACACGAGTCTTCAGCTCCAACATGACCTGAGCCTTTGGGAGAAGGACACAGAATCAAGAACACTGACAGTGAGGGTGACTCGGACTGTTTACACCTGGGGCCCTGAGTTCTCTGAGGCCGGCACCTCTGTTTAGCCTCCAACTCATGTGTCTCAACTAGAACTTGTCATCATCCCCCACAAGACACACAGACTAAAGACGAGGAGACATATGAGCTTCTTCCTCTACCCTCACAACATGCATTCAGCGAGCCCGGCTGTGTGACAGGCATCATGCTAATAATCATCTCCTGCAAACGTCAAAAAATGGCACCTCCTCAGTGAGGTCTATGTGGACCACAGCATTTTATCCTGCTACTCTCTCCTTTTCATTCCCAGCACTCATGACCACCCTTCCCCCCAACTCTGCCCTACTTTTAATTACTTCCTTACAACTTAGCACTTTCTAATATATACTTTATCATCTTGTTTATTGTCTTTGTCTTCTTCCCCAACTAGAATTTAAGTACCAAGAAGTCTGAGATATTTGCTGGCCTTGTACGCTGATATATCCCAAGTACCTAGAACAGTGCCCAACACCTAGCAGGCATCCGAAAACATTTGTTGAGCCATGCTTCCTGCCCCCATGGAACTTACAGTCAGAGAATACACATAGCATTATGAGTTGTGATAGGTGCCCAAAGCTGGGCGGTTCAGAGGACTATTCATTTGTCCCTCTCAGGGTCTGTGATGCTTTTGCCTGGCCTCACTGTTATTACTTTAATTTGGCTCTTAAGTCTTTCCAACTTCCTAGTTCCTATGTCTAATGTCTTCTTCTTCCAATCCACAGTATTCACCACTGCCAAGTTGGATAAAATACTGTACTACACACCCCCTCACTTAAAAAAGAGTTAATGTTGATGACAGAGGAGGTGAGAACACAGGTGTGTGCACCCCCATTCATCTCTTCTGGTCTGTCTCCCCTCCTTCCTGGCCAGTGGACCTGTGTGAATCTGGCACACAGGAAGTGCTGAGACAAGAGATGAGCACAAGTTGCATGTGCAAAGTCAGGAAGGAAAGAGCGCGGATGCCTGGTCAGGGCACTGCATGTGATTCGGTGAGGCAGGAGGCCGAGGGTGAGAGAGGAGGCTGAGACTGGGTCAGACCATCAAGGCTCCTGAAAGCCATGCTAAGAAATTTTGATTTTACCTACAGGGCTTCCGAAGGCCCTCATCTAACCTGATTAAGCTGACTTTGGCCTTAAAAAGACCTCTCTGATGGCAGCGTGCAGCACGGGCTAGATCGGAGGACTGAAGGCAGGGGTACGGCACAAGCCTGTGGGGGATGGGAGGGGCTTGATTAGAGGTGGGGTAGGGGGAGCAGAGAGTAATGGAAAGATTCGAGAGAGATTTTAGGGAACGTGGGCCTGACTGGGTGTGGGTGAAGGTGTGAAGAGGTGAGAGGACTGGGGATGAAGACTGTTTCTCTGGCTAGACTGTTTCCTGTGGGTGCATTGGGCCTGTCTTGCTTCACTGCTTCATCCTCAGAGCCTGGCACAGGACCACAACATCGTCAGCACTAAATCAATATTTATCAAGTGAATAAATGACCCTGGGGATCTGCCTTGGACTAGTGGACTACATTTATTGTGGGGGTGATCGGGTATTTCACATGAAGTACTTGCTCATCATCCTTCCTTGGTCCCTTCTCTATGCTGCTGAGAGTAGAGTCTCCAAGACACAAATCTATCAAGTCCATCCGTGGGTCCTTAGGAACAATGTCCAAAGTCTAAAACATGGTATAAAAGGCCCCCCATGATCTCTCTGCAGCATCTGCACCCTCCCTCCCACACTCCCTCTCTTCTCCAGTGCTATCCTCCCCAACCTG